GTGATATCCAGAGCAATTTCAAAAACCGCACAACTTGGATAAAATAAAATTCACTACTTCTACGCGAAGTCACGCCAATAAAAATAAGCATAAAAAGGACAATTGATTTAGAGAACATTTTGGACAGAATTTGTCCTCTCAGAACACTAGAAATGGCGTTTCAGAGCACCAAAATTTCAAAATTTTCTGGGGGAGCATGCCCCCAGACCCCCCTAGTGGTTTGCCCCTTCACTGCTCACCTGATTCATTGCTGATTAAAAGACAAAAAAACACGATTTTATATACTTAAAAAGTTTGACAGTCTTTCTGTGTTAGCATGATACCCTTTAAACGAAAAAATAACTAAGATTAGATAATTAACAAGTTACATAATTAACAAGAAGCTGCAAAAAATCTCTAATCAAAATTTTAATTTTAATTGTTAAAACAATTTTGGGAAGTTAAACATTTATGGGGAATGCCACCGAAAAATTCGGGAGGGTGGACGAAATTTCCGGGAGGACAGAAAGTTATTCATAGGACTGCCCAAACAGCCTTTGTTAGAGTTGTCACCCCCCGTATCTCTTTTTAAGCTGTTTGTTACTCCGTTCCGAGAAATAGTAATAACTGTGTATTAGATTTAATGTCACCCCTCATATGTTTTGTAAATTAGTTTTCAAATTTTTATGGTGGCTGCAATTTGGGAGTAATTTCTGGAGGCACTTACGTCATTCGGTTTGTTGACGTAATTTGAAAAGAGAAATTGAAAATTATCTAAAGGAAGGGAAAAATCGCATAGGTTCAACTTTTTCTTGGTAGAAAGGTTGATTGTTGCTTTAGGTACGTTCTGTACAAGTCCCGTTATTTTGTGAAGGAAAATACTATTGACATTTATACTTAAACTTGTCTTACAAAGTGTAATTTCCTCGTAGATCCTTTCGTCATGACAAATCAAGCGAAGAATCAAGACTACTTGGGAATTAATAACTGAGGTAGGCATTGCATTAGCTGAAGTTACACTACAACTCCAAGGTTCCTCTACCTTAGAAATGCATTATATTTGGTTGTATACCTGCCAACTCTCACCCATTATACGCGAGATCGATCTCGTGCATCAAGGACAATTTCTCACGCCTGACTCACAAATCCACACAAATTGTTATTTAATACATGATTAATAACGTAAATTTAATTCGATTTCCACAAATATATTCCAAAAAGGCTTTGAATGATGACTTTGTGTCCTAACGAAATCAAAACACGCTGAAGTTATCGTGTCTTTTAGTGCTCAAAGGTCGTTGGAACATCTTCGGGAGTTTTCGGTAAAGTTTAGAAGGCTTCGGAAATTATCAAAAATCATCCGAAGTGCTTGGACGTTTTCGAAAATCACGCGATCATGGCATGGCGAAAATCTCACGCATTTGACCCAGAAAAAGCTGGCAGGTATAGGTATATGGTTGTTAAACTCCAGGAAACGTTTGTCAAAGCATGTCTGTTTAATAAGGCATAAAGATGCATAAATAGAAAGTGACTAAGTTGGGATCGCGAAAATTACATTTTCCAAAAAGTGACTAAGATGGGGTCTATAATTGGCCAAAAAATAGACTCTTATGGGGTGGGGGCTCTGAGCGGCCAGCGGCACATACTCAGCAAACATTAACCCAAGTACCGCCCCTGGGGGAGTTAAGCAGCAGCCACTTGCTTAATGGAGGTTCAACTGTACATACTCGTAGTCATATTCATCATTTTTGTTGAATTATAAGGGCAGCAGGCTACATTCAGAAATCTTTCTAATCCGCCCAATGCTCAGACTGGTGTATTGTTAAAAAAAGAACTTGCATTCTTCGTAAGTGATATAACACAAAGAAACTCAAAGAAGTCAAGGTACCTAAGTTATACTAAGGGAAATAGGAGATAAAAAGGAGAAAAACTAAAAACTCCCCCGGTTTTTACACCGAGTAAGACTTAAGCTGGAACCGAGCAGGGCTAGGGGCCGGGGGTGGGGGGATGCTTAAATTTCTGAAAATCCACCAGCTTAAAATAACCGTAGTTTCTCAGTGTTGTGGTAGTATATTTAGAAAGAGATTTTCTTTTCATTTGCTGTAGACTTATATTCCGCTAGCAAGAGATGTTAACCCTTAGAAATAAGTACACTTTCCGAAATTTGAGTGTTCTGAATGTTTCCACTGGCCTGGTTTGTACTTTGTTGCCTACAGCTTTAGTATTCACGTTCCATCTGAATTGTAAATATCATCCCTGGGGATTAATTAATGATATGCAAATGAGTATATATAATAGGAAACACTGGCACGCATTGTCCCATTCACTTCACTTTGTCCGACACGAAGGTGAGTGGCGACCCACCCGCCCTACCCAGCGAGTAAGTCGGGTTCCAGATTCAGTCTGTCTTGGGCTTGTCCCAGGTCAGATTGATTCCCCTTACCTTATTATAATGCCAAGAATAACAATACCCAGGGATGAATATTATACTATTTTCAGTGAAAGGTGAGAGTCTCCCAGGGGGGGTCCTTGGTCCCTTCCAAAATTGCCCTGTGTTCCCATGTTCCCACACGTTTTCCTTATTTGTTCCCCTCTTAATAAATTTGCTTACCACTTATTACCGCCCTCAATTTCCTCCCGCAAAAACAAAAGACACCAAAAACAAAACTTCAATTTGTGTGACATCATCTCAAGCATTTGAGCGAAATTCACAGTCCATCAGAGTGGGATGAGCATTAGAACTAACCTTAAGGTGGCTCGACTGGATTTTTTGGGGTTGATACCTTCCAACTTTGAGCATTAACTACGTCGGCATGAGTAAAGATATGGAAAAAAGGTTACCACAACTGTATTATATAAAGATGAAAATTTCTTATGACCTGGGTTTTATTGCAATCGGAGTCGCCATGGCAACGTAATGACGCCATTACGTTTTTCATTTATCTTTGTGTTTCTCTGTTCCAGGCGTTTTTTGATGAAATCGTCTAAGGGAGTATGTACCTGCTATAATTGCCTCCATTATGGCGTAGTTTCAACAAATTCTATGAGAGCGTTTTCGAAATATTTTGAAATGTAGTTTTAAGAATGATAAAAACAGTGAAATAGTATGCTAGCCACACAATTCGCTAATATTTTAAGAAAATGATAAGCTTTGGGAACGAGGCTTCATCTCATAGTGGTTTGACTCCACTGGAAACTGCATCCAAAAAAAGAGGGGAATTGCTCTGGGCGATCGCGAGTAAGAAGAATTTTATTAACTTGCATTCAGCTGCTTTTGATACAGTTTTTGGACGTAATTTGGTCAATGCCTAAGAATTTCGCATTTTTCCAAAAACCGCTCGATAAATTTTTTTATAAATTCGATAATCCCGAGACCAATCGTCAAGAAATATTCCCTGCAAGTTTCAAGAACATTGAAAATAGGGAAGGCTTTTAAATAGGGTCTCAAATATAACCAATTTTCCCCCCAGATTTTGTGTTTACAAGTGAGCGTCCTCATTATTCACTGGCATTGTTTTCAAGTTTCATATGCACGTGCACAACCAGGAAAAGATATAAATTTGCATAAAAAAGAACTCTCGATTACTTTCCGAGGAAATATCAGGAATATGCCAATAGTTGGCTTGTCGTCACAGATAGCAGTGAGAGCCGAAACGGTGAACGTCACGACTCATCTCGTAGGATGGAATACTTAATTATCTTACTCGGGTTATAACATCACAGAAACTATCACAAAGAGTTGCTCTGATGTTATAATGTATCATTAATCTCTTTACCCAGTAATTAGCATATCCCGAAGATTTAACCGAGGGTCCTTTCTGATGCAAATTCTATCTTTTTGCTTAATGTGCACGTGTATATGAAACTTGAAAACAATGCCAGTGAATAATGAGGACTTTCTTAGACTTCCAATAGATATTTCTAACAGATTATTTAATTCGTTGTATCTCCCAATTCTGATGTATGGCTCTGAGGTTTGGAGCATCTACGATGAAGATGATTATAATTCATGGGAAAATGATTTAATAGAGAAAACACAAATTCAATTTGGTCAAGAGAGAATGAGCTTGATTTGGTAAACAAGTTCTGGGTGTGAATAAACAGTGTCCAAATGTTGCATGCAGAAATGAACTTGGACGACTACCCTTGAAGGAAATAACTAACGTAAATGTTATCAAATTTTGGATACATTTAGAAAACAAACAAGATGATCATTATGAGCCAAGCATTGTTTAAAAATATCAAAAAATATGGTTAAGAAAACCATATGAATATTATGAAAAAAGTTAATACCCTATGCAACAATTCAAATCTCAATGAATTGTATTTAAATGATAACAACTCCTCAACATATATAAAGAATATCCTGAATTAACTAAACGTGAAGAACTGAGTTCACACCAATATAATCTTATAGCAAATAACAAGAAACTGAAATTCTACTCAATATTCAAACATGACTGTCAAAAAAGTGATTGCTTGAACACAATCAGCAATACAAATCACAAAAAAATACTGAACAAATTCAGACTTGGCAACCATCGCTTACAAATTGAAACGGGCAAACATACAGTACCGAAAACTCCAGAAAATCTTCGAAGAATTTGCCCCTTCTGCCACTGAAATGAAGTTGAACAGGAATTATACCTTTTATTCAATTGTAATCTTTACGATAGTCTTCGATCTAACTTTTACAGAAACATTGGTAACAAAACCTTCTTTTTATTAATTTTGACAACAATGAAAAAACCCTCTTCATATTTAACAATGTCAGTTCTCATATCTACAGACTTACAGCTGCTTACATACACTCATGTATGGAATATAGACAAAAACTTGTTCTTTAATTATAGCCCTTGTTGTTTAAGATTTATAACATAAATAATGTCGGCAATACCATGTACTCACGGGGAAATACTGAAATAAAGTTCTTGATTTCCCTTTCCGCCTCTTCTGTGAAAGTTAAGGGATTGAACACATCGGCATCAAAGCACATTGCCCTCGCTTTTTGGTAGCAGTGG